TATATTGCGTCATCGGTGGAGCTCTGTAGCGAGAGCAATCGCCGTTGCCCGCGGCATCCGTATAACAAAATCCGGATATTGCCGAGCTTCAGGTTGATTCGCATGGCAATCAGCAGATTCAGCGACCCATCATGACCGAGGACCGAGGTTGGGCCAAGCTGCACACAAGTAAGTGGCCAAGCTACACGGCTGCTGAAGCCCAACGCGATCACTGTCATTAGGGATGTCAATGATCAACACCGGTGCACTGGGTAGCGTTGCGGACGGGAAGCGTCGTGCAGCCGAGGTTGGGGCGATGTCGAGGCCGCTAGGTAGCAAAAACTGCAAACGTACTCTGTTAACGCGCGCCTTCCCAAGGTGCCATTCAAAGCTACCAGCCGCATGTGCTGCATGTGTGCTTGCCTTTCATGGCTATACTGTATGCACTGTCGACCAGGCTCGCACCTCTGCTGCTGAGTCGAGCGTAGTTGATACCGGTATGATGCTGCTACGCACGATCGCAACGGGACAGGCAATCGCATCTGCGTATTCTATTCTTTGCATGCTGGGTACAAGGCGCTTGCCGTGCGACCTCCGTCGCTGTCCAGCACAGCATTTGGGTCGACAGCAATAAACGCAAACGCGTTAAACGTAAAACCCACCTATCCTTGCGGTAAACGCGGCAAACGTGGGCGTCGTCATAAAAACGTTGCGTCTTGTATTGTCTTGTGGCAGCCTCTTTGCTGCTCCATCGAACGATCGCGCCTGCGTCATCGTTCATGGACCTAGGTGAATGGCTTTGCCACATCGGCCCGGCGAATCAAACGCATCTCTCGGCTCTGTACGTTAGTCACGACAACCCGGCACCTGGAACAGGCCGCTCGTGAGCCACACCTCACACCGATGACTACAGGTTAAGAGTTGCATCCAATACTACGTCGAGCTCGCTTTTAGCTCCGAGACAAGGAGGTTTACTCTGGCATTGATCTGCGCGAGCCGACGTCAGATATGGATTTCGACATGGATCAACACGGTACATACTCTGGCGACGTCCATCCTCGTCAGTGAGACGCACTTCTTAGTCGCTGACAACACCAACGACACGCTCGCCTCCGTGTGCGTGGCCGCCCGCTGCATCACTGAAGACACCATACTCTGCGACCGCGACACCGAGATCTGCCCCTCTTGCCTCTACGCGCTTCCTAACTCGGACATTATTGTCTGCGCCAACACAACCACCGACGGCGTTTGCGAACGAGGCACTCGATGCTCCCCAGTGCCGACACCGACGACGCGGCTGTTAACGACGGCACCGGCGCCGGTGCCACAAGCTGACGACATCGTATTGTCCACCGAGGCTGTCATTGGCCTCATCGCCGCCATCGTTGTCCTCGTTCTCGCCGTTGGCTGCCTCCTCGTGTACCGACGCCGACACAAGACTGCGTCTCCGACAACGGATGCGCACCGGGAGCCGTCCGTGCACATGTCGCCGTGCCCGTGCTCCGCATACCATGCGAGCCCGGCGTACGACCCTCCCCGCGCGGCCACGGCCACGCAATTTGAAAGCAGCAATACGTCGTCGATTGCGTCGTCTGGTTCGCATCGGCCCGGTGGGGGCCCCTACTACGCCAACGCGAGCCCGGCGCGCTGCAATGACGACATGATCCATCTCCAGTCGCGGGCCGTCGTATACCCCGCCCCGTACGGCCCACAGCGCTATTTCGACGGTAGTGGGGCCTTAAGTGACGCACAAAGCGCCTTTGACGATGTCGTGATGCTTCGGGCGCAACCATGCCAGCGACGATGACACCCTCCATCTCAATTGGCTAAACCGACTGTAGTCAACAAGAGAAGCGTCAGCTTCAGAATCTTTTGTTCAGTGTTACAGCTTTAGTGAGCACTATTGTCGTTGTAATTCAATCGCGGGCGCCTCGTGGTCAATGCCTTCGACCCCTCCAGACCGGAGGCACCATTGGCGTGATGGTCGGGGTACGTGGCAGCCTGACACACATCCGATGCCATGCGATCCGCCAATGAGAGGCGAGTCTGAAACAGTTGCATGTCACGAATGATATGCGGCACCGCAAACCATAGGAGAACCGCCGTATTGTGGTCGCGGTGATCCTAGGGCCCAAGACTATCGTACCTGGTAGAGCCTGCCATCGATCAAGTGGTGCCATCGATGACGCTTCGCCGCGGCGCGTCCAGAAGTTTTCGCCGTTTGCGTGTCGTCGCTATCGGCGACATTCAAGGGTCAACTAGGGTGAGCCCATTTATCGTTCGGAGTTTGTGGCTGATTTGTCTTTGGTTTGGTGCAAGGTCAGTTATCTTATATACCTTCTCTTGGATACGTTGCGATCAGATTTATTGCGGACTGCCTGCGTGGCCTAAGACCACGCAGCGTCTGAAGCCATGTGTGGCCATTTTTTGCCTTGGCGCATTGAGTCATAACCAATGTAGCAATGAGATGTGCAGGTTGTTGTACTCGTTGCTTAGATATGCCAGGCGAGTGGTGCAAGGGTCAGTCTATGGACTCCTGTTGTGTGCCGTAGACGTCCCGCCACCACGATCATTCGGCAAGGCCGAGATGGCAGGCAACGTAGCTTTATATGGCGACACGGACTTGAGTGGCCCCATTGAATCATCTCCACATATTACAGTGACGTATTGTTTTGTCTCTATGAGGCACTAACTAAAAGAAATCACTATGCAATGGTGTGCGTTCTCGTGGCACAGTGCCACTCAGCAGCTACCTGTGCGTATTGGCGTGAACTCTCTATCTATCTATCTATCTATCTATCTATCTATCTATCTATCTATATCGCACCACTGCCAAGGTGCGATCAGCAGTCGAATTCGAAAAGCCTCCGTTTCAATCGACTGCAGCAAGCGTTTCTGTAGACACCGGTTGCAATTCATGTCGATAAGCGAGTTGGTGGCGTCCATTTGGAGTTGTTTGGGACGACGGACCATTTCGAGAAGAGCAGCTTTACTGCATCATCCATTTAATTTTAGCACGATGTGTACCGGGTAGACTCGGGTCGGTCATTCCCAGTTACAGCATAGCACACCGCCCGCGTTGGTACGCAGAATGAAAGACGAAGCATTGTGACGTCGTGTATTGTGCTGTGTGCCGAAGAGACACAGATCTAGGGTTCCTGTTCGTAGGCACACCTGCCATGTGCGATCCCGCCAAGAGTGTTGCCCTGGTGCGATTCCTACTATATAGCTTTAGTTGTGAGATCTTCTTTCGGCCAACTCGTTACTCGGGCACCGTAGTTGAGATGAATGCTGGTGCTAACGTTAGTGTCTACTTTTGGTTGTTGGCGCATTTTGTTGCCTTCATCAAATAAAGTAGAAAAGTGATGCAATGAAGTGGTGCGTCGAGATTCAAACCCAACATGCGTCGCGGAGAAGCGGGTGTTCAGACAAAGGGCGGAGACAGCGATGCAGTAGATCTAAATGCTTGTGATAACGCCAAGCTGATGTTGCAAGGCCGTTGAGTAGGGCTCTCGGGTAGATATGAATAGGGCTCTCGCGCAAACGAAATGCACACATGTACACAGGAGAGGCGGCCCATGCATCACCGCGACAGAAGGAGCAGCGCCACGACACGGCAGGTGGTGTATGCAGAGCGAGACCGGAAGCAGCGAATTCCAAAATGAGCTGGCCGTGCCCACAGAAAATTGAAGAGTGTTCGTCCAGCCAATCACATGCTGGATCGCAAAGAGAGATCCACCACCTCAGTCATGGCTAGAAGCATTATACTCGAAGATGCACGAATCGATCGTCTCTGAGGACGCATTGTTGGGAAAAATATGCCAAGTATGGGCAATCAGAGGCAAAAGCAAGCATCGCATCATTATAACTCTCATTTATTAACTCAAAAGACAACGTCACCGCGAAGGAGAGCAAGATTCATCATCCGTTTCGGCTAAAACCACGCAGCTCGAGAAGGATGTGCTCCGAATAGACCTCTAAAAACGCATGTAGGTACCTCTCACACATCATAAATACGGATAAAGCAAGGCCCAAATGGGCAGAGTGACGCGGTTGCGTTTTTATGAGCCCAAACTGGCGACACGACTCGAGTCCAGGGCGTGGCAATATTGATTTCACTATGACCCATCGACGGCCACGTATCCGCTAATGTCCGGAAAACAACATGCCAAGGAGAACACCCACAGGAAGCGTTACGGAGACGATACGGAGGCGCATGCAAGGGCGCTGCGCGCAAGATAGCTGGCCGTACCGAGAACGGTGGCTCGCTTCGCTCGCAAGATCGCAGGCGATTGGTGGGGCGCGTTTTCCTAATCAGTCCGACCTTGGCCCGCCGAGGAGGGGGGCAGCCGAAATCGGCATTCACTTAAAAGATAAGAGAGATAAGAGAGATCACGCGGTACACGTTCATATATATATATAAATGTTTTTCCTGGGTCTCTCGTTTCCAGCCTACGGCTAGTGCCGTTTCCAAGAAGTGGAAGAGGTTTTCCGCGCAAGGCCGAGCGTTCTAGAAGACCAAGATTTGGAAGCACACACACGTTACAAGATCCAGGCGCTGAGTAAGCGAGCTCGAGCCATCCACGAATATATAGTAAATTTATCAGTTAAAGGCTAACCCGCCTCGCCCACCATGGCGAGCACCAACACGGTTGTTGCCCAAGTAGCCCGGTCTTGCTAGATGAATGAGATGGCTCCTCCTTGCGTATTTGTGATGTCAATGGCCAATTGATTTCAGCCATCAAGCACAGTGCACTCTGCGTCAAGGGTTTGCCTCGTGGCCAAGTGCAAAAGGCGTTGGACAAATCCTGAGTATGTCGAATGCACTAGGACTATAGAATTGATGCTGTTGCTGATCTTATACATATACTGCTCATGGCGGTTGACCCATGCGTGAGGTGATTGGGCGGCTGCGATGCAGCCTTGTCGTCGTCGGCGTCGAGGGAAGGTGGAAAACCACAGAAGCTGCAGAAACGCAGGGTTTCGTGGTGTCAAAGGCACCATATTACATTTTTTGAATGACTTTTTAACCTTCCAAAGCTTTGGACGTAAATTCTTTTTCTTCGGACAAGAGGAAAACATGTTCGTGTGCGTGGTTTGGCCGTACCATCGCGAGTGGAATGACGTACAGCGAAAATACTACTAGTAATACAAAACGAGTGCGATGGGTGTGTCCACTTCGCTAACATTAGCTACCACACTGTGCCATGGCACTGTGCGGGGCAGCTTGTTGGGCGTGAAGCGTCGTTCAACATCGATGGCAGAGCTTAAACTGAGTCTTGTCGTGTGTAATCCCATTACCAAGTTATCAGTTTCAGTTGGGACAACGACCATTTAAACTTTGTATGCTAGCAAAGACGTTCATCAGAGCATCCCCGACATGTCACCCACCAGATGGTCCGTCTCAAGGACGGTTTTTTCATAATCTGATAACGTGCAAGCCGCAAGAAAAGGGCCTCCATCGCATTCTCCCGCGTGGTCCCAATAACTTGCACAACACAAGACAAAAGCTAATCAGCAACAGGACGCACGCATAATTATGGCCGCGAAGTGAGTCTAATTTCACGGGAGACCATTTGACAAATGAGTTTGCACGATTGAAGCGACTACGTTCTGATAGCTGTTCTGATCCCCATAATGCACCCAGTACATTTTTCGGTGTGGGGCTAGAAAGGGCACACGACACACATGGTGTTTCCAGAATCTGAGTGGCCATCCAATGAAGGTATTATCAGACGACCGTTTCTGTGTGAGCACAATTCCAACCGTGCCTAATCCAAGGCGGTTTCGTTTCTTGATCAGAAAGACCTCTCGCAACTGAGAAACTTGGTCGCAGGTTTACCACTCGAAATGCCATTTATAATCTGAAAATGGTGGGAGCCTTGAGGCGGGGCTAGCGGCCGTCTCAACGCAGCCAATATGTATCGTCGACCTCTACCCGACGTCACCTGCGTCACAGCGCAGCCTGCCGGAGCTGCACTAGAATAAGCTTGAATCTAACGTCGCCCGGTCTCAACGACGACCTATCCTTCGTTTCGTGGGTGTGAAACCTACCCAATCAATCGCGGCTCTTGACGGCGCGTCGATTGTTTGGCGATTCGACATCAAAACGCGTGCTAAGCGCGTGCCTATCGGGGCGTCGCGTGTCAGCACCTGGGTGGAAACGCAGTGATCGAGCAATCGAGCCGCTCCATGCACTTGAATCTTGGCTTGAACCGATCCCCTTGGCGTGCACGCTGGTGTGGCGCCGTCCGTCCTTCTGCGCTCGCACAGTTGTCGTACCTAACTACCCGTTGAACCCACGTGCTTGTGCAAACGTCGAGCTCTTGAAACCCTGCCATCTGTCTGACTAGAGTTGGTCATGATTTCTGAGTTGGGTGCCATCTGTTTTCACCTTGCGCAGTAACAACCTTGTCGTTGCCGGCGCCGCGCTCGACACTCGACTCATTCTCGCTTTTGCCAGCTACTACTACTAGTACTATGGTCAAGATCATCGTTACCCTCGGCGCTTTGGCGGCAACCGCGCTCGCAGGCTCGGTCACCGACTTCCCCAAGGAGGTCGCTGACCTCATGGACCCGACGGTCGACCCGTGCACGGACTTTTATAAGTACGCGTGCGGTGGCTGGATCAAGAGCGCCGTCATTCCTGCGGACCGCTCGACGACCGACACGTCGTTCAGTGTCATTGCGGCCAAGAACGACGTCGTGATCAAGCAGATCCTCGCGGCCGGCCACCCCAAGCTCTCCGAGTACTACAACTCGTGCAAGGACGAAGCGTCGCTGACGGCTCTCGGTGTGACGCCGATCGCTGACGACCTCAAGGCGATTCGCTCGGCCAACTCGACGACCGAGATCCTCCACACGGTCGCCAAGCTCAGTAAGAAGAACGTGCCGGCGTTCACGCAGCCCGCTGTGTACCCCGACAAGATGGATGCGACGACCAACGTGCTCTATTCGTTCCAGGCGCCGCTTACGTTTGAAGAGATCGACTACTACACGGACGCGAGCATCTGGGGCTTCCTTCAGCCGCTCTTCGAGCAGTACATTGTGTCGCTCTTCACGCTCGGCGGCGGCAAGTCGGCGGGTGACGCCAAGGCCGCGGCCAAGGTCATCATGGACTTTGAGCGCCAGTTTGCCGGTGTCCAGCTCTCCAAGCTCGAGGCCATGGAGGCCGTCACGGCCAACTACAACGCCATGAGCTACGCCGAGGCGGCGACCAAGTACCCGCTTACGGTCGGCATCCAGCTCGAGGAGTACGGCTTCAACATCCACAACGGCTGCCTCGACACGAGCAACAAGATCATCTTGCAGGACCTCGGTTTCTTTGACCGCGTCGAGAAGCTCGTGGCCGGTCTCTCGCTCACGGACCTCCAGACGATCGCCGAGTACAAGCTCCTCAACACGTTCTCGACGTCGCTCACGCCGGCCCTCGCGACCGCCAACTGGAACCTCTTTGGCAAAGTCATCAACGGCCAGAAGGCCGAGCCGACGCGCGAGGCCCGCTGCTCGGCGGACGTGCAGACGGCGCTCGGTGAGATCGTCGGTGACCACTACGTCAAGGCTATGTTCGACGCGACGGCTGCCAAGCGCGCCGACGAAATGGTGCTGGCCCTCGAAGCCTCGTACAAGATCGGCATCCAGAACGCGACGTGGCTTGACGACGAGACGCGCAAGAACGGTATCACGAAGCTCTCCAAGTTTGTGCACTTGATCGGGGCGCCTGAGAACCCGCAGATGTACCCTGGCATCTCGCTCGACGCCAAGGACTATGTCGGCAACCGCAACAAGATCAACACGTTCGACACGGAGGCCAACCTCAAGATGATTGGCACGCCGGTCGACCGCAAGAAGTGGAGCTCGCCCGCGTCCGAAGTCAACGCGTGGTACAGCCCCCGCCTTAACTCGATCACGTTCCCGGCCGCGATCCTCCAGACGCCCTTCTTCTCGGGCAAGTCGGACCCGGCGCAGAACTTTGGCGCGATCGGCATGGTCATTGGCCACGAGATCACGCACGGTTTCGACAACTCGGGCCGCAACTTTGACGGCGACGGCAACCTCAAGCCGTGGTGGACCGACGAGACCGCGCTCAAGTTCAACGAGAAGGCCAAGTGCATCGCTGACCAGTACAGCGGCTTTGTGGCCAAGAGTGAAGTGACGGGCCAGACCCTCGGCAAGGTCAACGGCCGCCTGACGCTCGGCGAGACGATCGCGGACAACGGTGGCCTCAAGACGGCCTTCCGCGCGTACCAGACGTACACGCAGACCAACCCGTCCGCGTTCACCAAGGAGGTCGGCGACAAGGTCTTCTTCCTCTCGTTCGCGCAGGGCTGGTGCTCCAAGAACACGGACGCGTACATTCAGCGTATGCTCAAGGATGTCCACCCGCCGGGTAACTTCCGCATCTACGGCGCCGTCCAGAACAACGACGCGTTCGCCGCGGCGTTCAACTGCCCTGTCAATTCGGCCATGAACCCGACCAAGAAGTGCTACCTCTGGGAGTAAGCGATTGGACCTTTGTGTATCTAACTTCACTAAAAAGTATTGTCAGCATTTCGTTATATCCAACCGTGCCTGTCCACCGCCCCGGTCGGGGAACCTTCAAATTTGGGTTGAGATAGGTGACGTGGCAGGCCGCTGCAGAGTGTTCGTTCGTGCAACGTCGACGCCGGGCTTCGTGAGCAGGACGAGCTCGGTCATCGCTGGTGATGTGGCTGGAAGCGCTGCTTGTAGCAACTTCAACGTCCACTGCTCCGGAACGAAGAGCGCAATCGATTGCGCAATTTGCGCCGGGGTCGGGACATTAGAATTGGGCAATCAATTGGTCCAATCCAAACAAGCGATTTGATTAGCTGGCATTTACCGTTTAACTCCTTTCCTAACCGAATACACGATATATTGGTTAGCAGGACCGGTATTTATCGGTATTTTGCGGGACTACTTTCGAAGGCAAGTCTGGTGCAGTCTGGTGGTGCGCCGGCAGCCGTCTGTTTCATTATGAACCATCATGTCCAATTGTCAACAGTAAATCTTACACTACCTGTACCATTTGTGCTGTTCCTACATGGAAACTGTCTTTCCGATGGGAAATAGTACATTTGTTGCTATTCAATTTCTTATCGGCTTATAGTACACGTAGTGTTACAATGTAAGCTTGGGCTCACTAGCGGAAGTACTGGTTCGAACCGAGCCCGCCATAGCTGGCTCCAGCGCCGTAACCCTGGCCTTCACCGTACGTGTTGCCGCCATCGTACCCTTGTCCTTCACCGTACGTGTTGCCACCGCCGTTCGTGTTGCCGACACCGTAGCCGCGGTTGTAGCGCTGGCCGTAGCTGGCACCGCCCTTGCCGCCGCCGTACGTGTTGCCGATGCCATAGCCTGCACCATAGCTGGCAGCGCCGCCATAGCCGCGGCCGCCCAAACCACCGCCGCCATAGTTGGACGCGCCGTAGCCCTGGCCGTAACCCTGGCCATACCCGCCACGCAAGCCGTACTTGTTGCCGCCACCACCGTTGTAGCTCATCTGGGGGCTGTATTCGCTGGCTTCCTGGCCGTACCCATCTTGAACATCGACCGAAGCAGTCGCCATAGCGCTCAAGACCATCGTCGCGAGCATCGTGCGGAGGAGGGAGTTCATCGTTGTCTTGGGAAGTCGGAGAAGGCAAAAGGCAAAGTGAGGATGTGATGCAAACGCGCCCACAACAGCGGAAAACACAGAAAGAGCATGAAAACCACGAAAAAGAACAAGCGCGCGAAAACACAAGCCCAAAATAGACAAACCGACCCCAAACACAAGCCTAAAGAAAATACAAGACCCGCAGCCAACACCCAGGACCGGCAAAAAGGGTCATAAACCGCACCTCACCTCACCAGACCTCCCCAAGTCTGCATCACATCCTCACTTTGCCTTTTGCCCTCTCCGACTTCCCAAGACAACGATGAACTCCCTCCTCCGCACGATGCTCGCGACGATGGTCTTGAGCGCCATGACGACTGCTTCGGTCGATGTTCAAGATGGGTACGGCCAAGAAGCCAGCGAATACAGCCCCCAGACGAGCTACAACGGTGGTGGCGGCAACAAGTACGGCTTGCGTGGCGGGTATGGCCAGGGTTACGGCCAGGGCTACGGCGCGTCCAACTATGGCGGCGGTGGTTTGGGCGGCCGCGGCTATGGCGGCGCTGCCAGCTATGGTGCAGGCTATGGCATCGGCAACACGTACGGCGGCGGCAAGGGCGGTGCCAGCTACGGCCAGCGCTACAACCGCGGCTACGGTGTCGGCAACACGAACGGCGGTGGCAACACGTACGGTGAAGGACAAGGGTACGATGGCGGCAACACGTACGGTGAAGGCCAGGGTTACGGCGCTGGAGCCAGCTATGGCGGGCTCGGTTCGAACCAGTACTTCCGCTAGTGAGCCCAAGCTTACATTGCAACACTACGTGTACTATAAGCCGATAAGAAAACTAGGATGCTACCACGAGCATTGAAATTCGAGACGGTTGAGGCCGATTCAGAGATATGAAACCGACTGCCACTTTGCACTTTAGGCGCGACCGCACAAGATCGCTATCTTAAACTTCCTAGTCTCGCCTTGCTTTGGAAAAGATACCGGTAGCAATGTGGTGTGGACGAGAGCCGCTTACTAACTGCTAGTAGGTTGGGCACAAAACCTTCCGTCGAGTTGCAACAAAAAATACTATTTTCTACTTAGAACAGCTTGCTCGGGTTGAGAATGTTGTGCGGGTCGAGCGCGTGCTTGATGGTCTGCATCACATCGACGCTGTCGCCGTGCTCCATGCGGAGGTACTTAATCTTGCCCGACCCAATGCCGTGCTCACCCGTGCACGTGCCTTCGGCCGCCAGCGCCCGCTCGACCAATCGGTCGCTGAACTCGCGCACCTTGGGTTCGTCTTCGTGCAAGAAGGGCAGCATGACGTGGAAGTTGCCGTCGCCAACGTGGCCGACGATCGTGCCAACGAGCCCCGAGGCCTCCAAGTCGGCCTGCGTGTCGCCAATCACCTGCGTGAGGTTGCTCAGCGGCACACACACATCGGTCGAGAGCGCGCGACTGCCCGGCACCAAGTTCTAGCATTGCATATGAGACCTGCAACAAGAAACGAAGAAGGGTGTGTACCATGGTGGCATACCACGCCGAGTGGCGGGCCTTGAGGAGCTCCTTGCGGTCTTCTTCGGTCTCGGCCCAGCTCATGCGCTGCACTGAGTAGTCTTCCGCGAGCGCTTGGACCGTGCCCGTGTGGTGCGCAATTTCTTCCGGCGTCCCGTTGAGCTCAATCACGAGGCACGGCGACACAATGTTGTTGAGTTTCGAGTACTTGTTGGTGGCCTCGATCGCCTTGTGGTCCATGAGCTCCATGCGCGAGACCGGAATGCCCATCTGCATGATGACGGTGCACGTGTCGACCGCGTCTTGGATCGTCGGGAAGCTGCAGACCGCAATCTTGTGCGCTTCCGGGACACCCTGGAGGCGCAGCTCGACTTCGGTTACGACCGCCAGCGTGCCTTCCGAGCCGATCAAGAGGCGTGTGAGGTCATAGCCCGCCGACGACTTGCGCGCCCTAGCGAAAACAGCGCGTCAGTATCGACACGCAATGCATTGAGCGTTGTACTTGGAGCCGGTGCGGATGATGCGGCCGTCGGCCATGACTGCCGTGAGCCCGAGGACGTTCGACTTCATGTTGCCGTAGCTAATATACGAAGGTAAGCGATGCGACTACGACACGAGTTGCTCTTCGTACCGGACGGTCGTCGTGCCCGACGCGTTCGTGGCGACCATGCCACCGAGGGTCGCATCGGCACCAGGGTCCACGGGGAAGAATAGGCCCGTCGCGCGAAGCTCCGACTCGAGCTGGAGGCGCGTGACGCCGCACTGGACGCGGCAGCTCATGTTCTCTTGCTCGACCTGCAGACGTCTCGCGTTAGCTCCACCAAGTGATGCGTGATGTGCGTACCGAGAGAATCGACTTCATGTTGGTCAAATCGAGCGCAATACCGCCGTGGAGCGCCGAGATGTGGCCTTCGAGCGACGAGCCAGCGCCAAACGGAATGATCGGCGTCTTGGTCGCCGAGCAGAGCTTGAGGATCGTCGAGACCTCCTCGGTGCTGTCGGCGTAAACGACAACGTCGGGCGGGCACGGCGCGTGGTACGACTCGTCCGTACCGTGGTGCTATACATGACAAGAGGCAGCGTGAGGCGGCGCGCGTGGGCGAGCATATAGCGTACCTCGCGCACCGAGGCAGCGGTCGAGACGCGGTCGCCAAAGAGCTCCTTCAGCGTGGCGAGCGTCTCGGCCGACACGGCGCGGTGCTCGTACGGGCCGCCCTCGGCCGAGAAGCAGCGGCGCGCGACCGAAGAGCGCTTGGAGATGGCGGCAAGAGACCGGGCCAGCATCGTCGTCCGTCGAGTTGCGAGCGAAATGCAAAATACCTCAAAGGGCAATCTCGCGACGCCATCCGGATATCCAGTACCGGATGGATTTTACATAGAGACGCAAGTGGCACATCCTGCTCGCACCCAAACGACTGTCCGGCACCATGGTCGGACGAAGGTGTCGGATCAGGTGGGGCTGCCTCTTGAGGAAGGTCGCGTCGAGTCTCGTATGCCTGCGGGGAGCAAGCCCGAGCTACCTCGTTGGCGACGCAGGAAGCAACAAATAAGCCTACAAGAACTTATTGTTTCCTATATTCGTTCGCAGCCGACCGTCCAACGGGGACACAATTCCGTGGAAACGTTGTTCGTGTAGCGCTCCCATACGTCAAGGTCGGACGCCTTCATTTGCGATCGACGCAGCGACATGGGGTGGTCATTCTGCCACTTTTTTGCATTGGGTGACCGTAAAATCAAGAAATTTGCGGTTTTTCGCAGATTCGATCGAGAAGGTTCGTGCGGCGCCACTTCGTTTGGCTACTCCGACGTCGGTTGGCGCGCTTCTTGCAGGTGTCGTGGATTGGTAGTAAAAGTATGTGGTTTCTGACTGCGCAGGAGCTTTGAGGTTCGTCTTCGCCCATCCGGTTTCGGAAGCTCAAGGTCGGACTTGACCCTCTGCAAAGCATGCTTCATCAGCCAATCCGAGCGCGCCTCGTCGAACGAATATAGCCAATCAAGTTCGAGCACACCCGATCTTTCGGGAAACGCCGCCATTTGCGCTGGTCTGCGATGTACTCGCGCAACCCGAGCCTGTTCTTCTCAGACCTTCCGGCGGGTGCGTCTCTACGCGCTAAGATCTGTGTGGCATATGCTGACTGTGCAGGCCTCACGTCGGCTCAAGACAACGACGTCGTATGTACCCAATTCATTGGTATCTCTACAGTGTAGGTAGGGGGAGCGCGACGCGACACCGCATGCGCTACCGTCGTCCAAGCTGCGTATTGCCAAGCTCATCAAAGCGCAGCAAGGCCCGTGGAAGCGGCCAGAGCGGCTTGAGCACGACGATGCTCCACCGCCGTCGTTTCCAACCCTTGCTGAGCTCGCAGCGCGGAAGAAGCAACCGCCGAGCATCGAGACACACACGTTGGCCGCCAAGCGCAGAGTGTACGGCCTCGGTCCCAAGCTAGCGCTCAAGTATGGCAAAGCGCCCTTGGCAGCAATCAAATCAGAGAAGGACGACCTCGAGCACCTCCGCGTACACGACGCTCCGCATTCGCTATGGCTCACGCGGGAAATGGCTAGAGTTCCATGCATCGCGTGGGCAAGAATCTCCCGATCCAGTTTTTGAAGGCGTCCAAACACACGGACTTTGCGAAGCGCATGGCCACCGAGACCGTTGTCCGCATCGTCTCGGCCAACTTTGAGCTCGCACGGCGCCGCGCCTTTGGCATGTGGCAGGTTCTCTTATCAATGCGATAGTACCGTGGACGCATTCGTAGTCTCAACGCTACTAACTCGTAGACATTTACAGACGCCCACCGCACCCGCGAGCATGCGTTCAAGCGCCATCGTCTCGAGCAACTTGCAGGTTTCACGCGGGCGCATTGCATGTCACCAACGATACCAATAGGTCTGGCGCGCATTTTGTTCTTGTTGCAGACAAACGTCGAGCGCCGCTCTCGATACATTCTAACCGCTTGGGCGACCGAAGCCAAAGCGCGGACGCGTGCCATTCATACCTTTCACGCGATTCGAATTCAGTGTGCGTGGCGGCAAGCCATGGCGCGGCGGCTGCGCCACCGTCTCTACTGTGCCCATTTGGCAGCCTGCCAGCGACACAGCGCTATTCACTCGCAGCGGTAATACCTATTGCTACCGTCGACAGCCGCAAACCGCTGCCTAGATTGGTGCGAGGATTCCTCGCGCGGCGCGAGTTTCGTCGCCGTCAAGTCGCCAAACAAGAGTCCATGGCAGCCTTGCAAATCCAGCGTGCTTACCACAACCAAGTCCTCTACCGCGCGTATCGACGCCAAAAACAGAGTCGCGCGGGTGCGCTGCTGCAGCGCGTGTACCGCGGCCATCGTGGCCGCGTTATCGCGCTTGGTCGTCGTGCTGCGCTCGCCCAGTGTGCCACCAGCTATGTTGTCGAGCAGCTGCTTCCGACCGCCGGCGCCAACGCATGCCGACGCATCGTGAGTGCCCACTGCATCCAGCGCTGTGTGCGGCACGCGACTGCACGCTCCAACTACACCTGTGCCTACCCGAAGCTGCATGCGCGCCGCCGGTACTTTCCCACATTTCGCATCCAGGTACCCTATATTGTCCATGGTATATGGGCATTTCTTTTATTCAACTAGCGCACGTGGCACGTCTTTCGGTCCACACAGCTTGCGACAGTCGTGCGCCGTCTCGTGCAGGGTCTCTGGGCGGTGCAAGGACGGCTATCTTGCAAGTTCGCCTACCGAGATGCCCGGCGCGTCGAACGAGCGCAACGCCGCGCGGCGATCGCGATCCAACGCATGTGCCGTGGCCACCTCGCCCGACGGCGCGTGCAGCCGCTCATTGACGCCCGGCTCAATGCGCTCGTCCAGTCGCTTCCACCGGGCTTTGTCGTCTCGCCGACCATACTGCGCGGCCGGGGGACGCAAGCGATGGCGCAGCTCGAGCAACAAGTGCAGAAATGGCGCGGGCGGAATGCGGTGACGCTTCAGCGTGTCTACCGCGGCCACGTGGGCCGTCACGTGGCCAAGCGCGTACGAATTGCGTGGTGCCACCTCCTTAGCGTGCTCAACTGCCCCGTCCACGCGTTTCTTCGACGTCAGCTCGGTCGTCGCGTCCGGGTATGTCCCTACACCGCTCGTGTCATTTAGAGACTTGTAAATGGTGGTGGCTAGGCCCGCTGGGCGCGCAAGCGACACGCGCGTTTTAACAAAGCCTTTTTAGCGTGGAAGGGCATTGCCCGCGCGCTCCAGCACGTCCACTTGCTACGGTCGTCGGCGCGGCTTCGGCAACTCGCCAACTGGCATTTTGAAAAAGTGCTGCGCAAGAAAACACTGCGGCGGTGGCAGATTGGGCTTGTGCGGCAGCGCGAAATGCGCTTCAAGAAGCGCGTTGCGCAGTCCCACGCGTCGCTCTCGCGACAGACCAAAGCCTTCCAGGTGTGTTGAGAACTCGATACGTCGAGAATTGACGCACGTGGGTAGCGCTTGTACGACCACGGACTTGCGGCCATTGTTCACGAAAGGGTCTCGATGCTGCAGTACAAGGTGATGTTTGTGCGCGCGTGGCGCCTCCATACGATTCAAATGCGCCACATACGGGCCATGGAGGCGCGGTACCACGCTCGGCTATCGACCGCCATGCTGGACCAGTGGCGCACAGTGTACATCTGGGATCATCTGGTGCAAGGCCTTGCGCGACGGCAGCGCGAGGCGTCGTCGCAACGCTCGCATCTGCGCGCCCTGCTCACGTACGTCGCTCGGCAACAGGCAGGTATGTTGCATTTTAGTACGCGTACGAGTATGCGAGGACACTATGCACATGACATGTTGTCTAGTTGCGGCGCAATGGCGCCGACGCGGGCAGCAGCGTGGCCTTTCGAAATGGGTTACGGCGCGGGCGTGGACGCTATTGACCAACGACCAAGTCGCGCGGGCCCATCGATTTCGCGCGCGCCACATTGTGCGTCGGTGGCGGCAGCTCCGCAGCGTTCAAGAGACCGCTATGGCGCTCCGCACCAAGGTCCATGCGTTTGCCACTGTCCACGGACAGCGGCGCGCGCTCGTCAACTGGCTCGTGTACACAGACGAAGCCCGCGCGTACCACGTTTTGTATACAAAAGCGCAGAGTCTCTTCAAGCGCACGCACGTTGCGAAAGCCTTTGCCGAGTGGTTTCAGCTCTGGGCCGAGACCGCCGGCGAGCGTCGCATCTACTTTGCAAAGCTTGTGCAGCGTCTCTGGCGCGGCAAGCTCAGTCGGCGCCGCTTTACGCAAGCCCGCGCTTTAGAGGACTACAAGGTACAACACACGATCCAAGCATCAAGATATCAAGATCTTATTGTATGTAACTTGCTCACTAGGTGGCGCGGCGCATCGAGCTCGGCACTGACATTCCGCAGTTGGAACCAGACGCGATCCAGGCGCTGGTGACTCCGGCATTGCGCAGCAAGGAGTGGGTGCTACTTCTCGCCTACTTGCCGTGGACAGCACCGTCGCCGCGCATGTACAATGCATTTGCGACGGTCGCGACTTCGTACTATAAGAACAAACGTATTGCGTTTGGCTGCGTCGACGCCACGCAGCGGGACGCGTCGTACGTTGCAGTATTGTTTCAATGTATCGAGTCACCCGATACGTCACGTGTCTAGAAAAAGCATTGCATCCAAGTACCAGCTCGAGGACGCGATGCTACCGCGGCTGCTTGTGTTTTGGCAAGGGCGTGGACCCGACACGCCGGCGCAGCGCGATCCTGCGCGGCGTATCACGCGCCGATTTACCGCCGTCCAACTGCACTACCCGCACCCGCTCTTGCAGACACAGGAGCTCCACGCATGGGTACGACGTCTCTTGTCCACTAGCCGCGAATGCACAGCGATTGATCTCCAAGCCGATTGGCGCCGGTTCCTCGTGCGGCTTCGGCGCTACTACCGGCGTCAAATCTGCCGCCGCGACGCGATCGTCCGCGTCGTACTCTGGTTTGTTCAGCGTCGGCGGGCGCGCCGGCGCCGGAACGCCACCAAGCTCCAGCGTTGGTACCGTCGGCGAAAAGAGCAAATCGCTGCGTATGCGCGCGTCGTGGCGTCCATGGCCGCGTACCGCAGGCCGATCGTGGCGTTTCAGCGCACCCTTCGGCGGCATTATTGCCGACGCCAGTTTCGTCGCGCCATGTACAGTATTGTCATTTCATAGTTGTCGACGATCGATTTGGTGCTAGGGATGAAAAACATGCCACCGTTGATAAGTACCCCCACGCGCCGCTGTGCTTGACGTGCGAGTGCGCGGTTGGCGTGCTCAAGTGCATCGACTGCAACGAGCCGTACTGCGATGCATGCTTTGGCGTGTACCACAGCAGCGGCCATCGCGCCAGCCATCGAAGTAAACTGATCGACTTTATCGCGATGCACGCCAACGACCCAATGTGTGCCGACTGCCTTGTCGACCGGCCGCAGCGAGTCTGCAAGGTGCATTGATACCTTTGGTCTAGATCAAGAGGCGTAATGTGATGTAGAGCTGTAAAAAAGGTCTGTGCGGACAGTGCCACAACAAGACGCACACTATCGCGTCGGGTGCGCAGACGCATGTGTACACGCGGGCGCGTGTGCTCTTGAAGACATTCGAGCGCGCCCACAAGACGACCGCCAAGACGAGTGCGGTGATGCACCGCAAACTTGAGAAAAAGCGAGCAACGTTGCTTCTGACCGAGACAGCCCACGAGATTATGCTCTCGCAACACTGGATGTCGTTCACTCAAAGAGAGGCGGCGCGTGTTGCGACCGAGGCGGCGACCAAAAAAGAAGCCGACCGCGCGGCTGCACTGGCGTATGCGATGGCGCAGTTGGAACAGCCTGTGCTCGACGCGTTCGAAATCTACGACCCGGACCACGGAGGCTACGTCGGGGCCGGGGAGCTCGCTATGCTTTTGCGCAACGAGCTCTGCATTCCGCTGACCAAGAAGCAGCTTGCCATGGGCATGCGCGCCATCGACCAAGACGGCAACGGCCGATTCGGTACAGTTGCGTGTTCCTATTATTTGACAAGCTTGTCTTTATAGAGTGGCGCGAAATTTGCGCTTGGCTGGCGGAAATCGCGGTCGACCACAAGCTCGACGGTACGCCAACTTGGTTTTTCGTGTTTATTTGTCTTTTATTCATTTTTATTCATGAGTTATTCGCGTTTTCATCCCAAATTGCGGCTTTTTAGGTCGTCTCGATGCGCTTCGACGCAAGAAGCTTCACGTACAAAAAGACTATCGCAATCTGCAACGAAAAATCCGAAAGTGGAAGACTTCGGTCTTTCCGGCGCGCAAAAAGCGCATCCGCACGGTGCCCGGGTTTCCCGACGTACCGCAATTGCACCCTCTCGACGACTTTCAAAGCAAAAAGGCCGTCTTCTATCGCTTTCTTAGCGCGGGTAGAGCAACATGAACTCGGCCAAAGCCTGCCCACGAGTATTGTCTTGTGTAGAATTCGGCATGAAGTGGATCCTCCAAGACGTCCACGAGATCGACTTGGCCAATCAAATGGCGGTGTTTGCGTCAACGTTTGTGTTGCGCTGGAACCGCGGACAACTGAATTTCGAGTACTACTACGACGGCGTGACGTTCGAACATGACAATACCATTTGGAAGCAAGTGTGGCAAGAAACGGACCGCAAGTACACGTTTACCAATGTGGCCGATGGCAGCGAGCATTTCGCCGATCCGCGCAAAGTTGAAATGCTCTTTGCTCAAGCACGCGAAGCGTTCGGGGAGGTCGATACGGACGGGTACGCGTGCTTGATTATTCCATTAGTATATTAGACGATCTGGGTAGATCCGGCCAAATTGACGTGCTCGAGCTCTACCATTTACTCAACCACAACCTCTGTGAGCCCGTGACGATGGATCAAGCGCGTACGATCATGGAGAGCATTGATAAAGACGCAAGTGGCGCCATTGGTACCGTATTTTTGAGGCTCCTGACGATATAATTGGTGCCGGTGTCCTAGATTTCAACGAGTTTTACACTTGGTACGCCTCGGAAAACAGCCAGCAATGCCCCAAATCGATGCAGCACCGCGGGCTCCGAACCGCGCTTCGCACGCGACGGCATGCCAAGCGCATCGGTACACGCTTCTGTGCTCGTTTCTGTGTGCAAAACAAGCTGTGTAGTCACGACCAGCTACAAGAAAGGGCTCGCGACAAGCAAGTCGGTTGTTCAATCCGTCCAGAACCGGATCGAAGCGCAGCGTCTCGCCAAAGCATGCGAGGGCGCCGACCCCGAAATGGTCGAGCTCCTCATTGAGGTTCGCAAGACATGATTGGATTGTAGTTTTACTATCTTTGCGACTAGGGATTTGACAAACCCATGGTTCATAAAGCGCTCATGCTGGCTCAAAACGACGTCAACAAGGTGGTCGTTGTTTGCGCAGGATGGAAGCGACATCGTCACATTAGGCGCGGACGTGGCTCCGGCAGCGCAAGGAGGAGGCCGAGCTCGACGCCAAGCAGCGAAAAGAAGCGCGCCAGAAGCGACGCAATGCCCAACTGCGGGGGCTGCATGCAGCCCATTCGACGGCCAAAGAGGGGCTCGTTGGTATCGCCAAGGCCATAAAATTGCTCATTTTTGGTGACAAACCCAACCACGACGACGAGGTGCAACCGTGTCCATACGTTGGCATACGAAACACACGGGTCGTCTCTAGGTGGCGATGATTCTGCGCGACTTGCAACTCGACGTCAACCGCGCGGAAGGCATCGTGCGAGACACGATCGAAAACAGTTAGCGCCCTTTCTCAGCGCCCAAGGCTAGGGTATGGGGCTATTGTATAGGTCGTCAAACGAGGACATAGTTGTTGGCGCCATAATCCATGGGTTTCGACTGGAGTTTGGTCAGGTCGCTTTTGCAATCAGATGCCAAACAATAGCCCAAATGGCCCAAATGTCGTTGCCATGACAACCCAACGACCGCCATCAAAACGGATTGCTCGGTCATTTCGACTTGAGCCATGTGGACGAGCATTGCCGATGTGCAACCGGTGATCCTGGCCTTTGCGGAGCCGCTGACACAGTACCTCAACGGCGCACTCGACGCCGAATTGGACTTCCGCGCCGCCAACCGCGAAGCTACCGTGGCGCGCATCTGGGCCGACGCCTTTCGCAACGATTGGCCCGGCCAACTCGAGCGTCTCCCACAATGGTCTTGCCTGGACAAGGCCACCTATGCTTGCATCCGGTCCAAGGCCATGTACAGCAACGTGATGGCGTACGCTACTAGCCCCAACCACTGGTGCATCGTGGGTCAGCATCAATACTGCAATACGAACTGTGCACTTCCGGCCCACCCGAGCTGGACACCCGACATTGAACTCAGCGAGGCCGATGCAGCCCCGATGGAGAACCTGTGGCTCGACGTCCTCGCGCCATTCCTCGAGTGTCCGATCGCGCTCGCGCATGCTGCGATCATTGGCGGGCATCTGCAGCTCCTCCGCTACCTCATCGGCGAGAAAAGCGTCGTTGTCGCTGACTTTGGCTACATCCACGAGTACGGCTGCAGCCGTCCGGCAATGGACATTGCCGCCGAGTACGGTCATCTCGAGGTCCTCAAGCTGCTCCACGACGGCGGTGCACTATTGTGCACGACGGCAGCCATGGACAAGGCCGCTCTCAATGGACATTTCCACGTCGTCCAGTGACTTCAGCAGCACCGCACCGAAGGCTGCTCCCCCCACGTCCTCGATCAAGTCATCAAGAATGGACACAGAGACATTGTGCGTTTTCTGCAAAAGCACTGCAACGCGTCGTTCTCGCCGGACGTGTTTGAAATGGCCGCCGCCTACAACGACCTGGACCTCATCCAGGAATTGCATTACGTGTGGCACGCGCCATGCACGACAGCCGCCCTGGACGCCGCCGCCGCCCACAGCAGCGTGACGATCGTCGATTTTTTACATCGAAACAGAACGGAAGGCTGCACGGCGCTGGCCATGGACAGCGCTGCATTCCGCGGGGCGCTTGACGTTGTCCGATACCTCCACGAACACCGAGACGAAGGATGCACGACCCTCGCGCTGGACGCGGCCGCCCGTTGCGGGCATCTACCCGTCGTTCAGTTTCTCACCGAGCACCGCACCGAGGGTGGCACGGTGCACGCGATGGACCGAGCGGCGCACCGAGCGGCGCACCGCGGCTTTGACGCCGTCGTGCGCTACCTCCACGAACACCGAGACGAAGGCTGCACGACGCGCGCGGTGGACTGGGCCGCCGCCGCAGGTCATCTCTCCATTGTACGCTTCCTCCTTGAGCATCGATCGGAAGGCGGTACGTACCGAGGCATTTACTGGGCGGCCGCGCGCCGTGATCGCGACTACCCCGCTATTTTGGCTTTGTTGTTGCTGCACGACACGACCAAGATGCATTCTGCCGCCGCCGTTGAGCACGCATTGCGAATCGGCGACCGCAGGACCTTTAATGCCCTTCTCGCCGCGGGTTGCAACGGCGCGAGCGATGTCAACGTCGACGCCATCACTTGGCGACTGCTGAGTCGCGCCGACGCGCTCTATGACGACCCTACCACGGGTGAATATGGCAACACCGACAGAGACGAGCACAAAGAGAATTTCCAGTTTCACATAAACAGATTCTGAGGTTTATCAATAAATCTCTTCTGCATTGGTGCTGAATAGGCTTCAATGACATAACACTCGGGTCGCAAGTACGACGGCGACGGCAACCTCAAGACGTAGTGGCCAACTGCACTTAAAAAAGTCGTCAAAGTTCAACGAAAAGGTCCAGTACATCGCTGATCAGTACTAGTACAGCCGCTTTGTGGCCAAGAGTGAAGTGACTGGCAAGATACTTACAAAGGTCATTAACCGCCTGACGCTCAGCGAGTCGATCGCGGACACTGAGTGTTGCCGAATGGTTCTCTCATCGACCTTGTTATTTACACGGAAACAAACATATGCAATCGACATCTCTATTGATTCGACGAATTACAGTAAATAGTATGTAGACATCTATTTGCGCAACAGACTTCGTAATCATGTTGAATGTTTTACGTAGTAATATCTAGACGTCTATTGGCGCGACTTTTCCTGGAACGTGTTGATGCGGTTGTCGCTCATGAGCCGGATCGGGTTGCGGTGCGAGTTCCAGCTCGACTCGTTGACGTTGTCGCGGATCGGGCTGCCGCGGTTCTCCTTGCTCCAGTGCACGTGCGGGCAGCTCGTCAAGTAGCGCACTGATGCACCGCCAGCAAGCGCGCACGCGCCGACGATGACGCCGATGACGGGCCACGCAGCCGTGTCACGGAGCCA